CAGGAATTGGAGCCGACGACACAGCTTTGCCAAGATGTCCAGACTAGGCCTGTACACCTTTTTCTTACTGTTGCTTCTTCTGTCTCTTTTGTGGCAAGAAAATGCCCTTGTCCATGTTTCCCAAACTCTTATGAAAGGGGGTAACCTCTTCTGTGACTATGGCCTTTCGGAAACAGTCTCATCATGATCCTGTGACAAAGGAATTTTTCACTTGCTTTTTCTGAAGGGTTAGAGGGTTCCGAATTCATGAAATTCTTCTTTCATCTGAACTATTGTCTGACTCTGGATTCTGATTCATGTTCATGGTTTCTGAATTTACATCTTTACAAACTATTACTGTATTACTGTTTGGTTCTAAACAGTTATTTTGAGATAACATTAGTGTTTTAAAACGTCTTTGAAGTTGTGCTGTTTTGCAAAAAGTTCGTTAGCTGTTGCTCTATGTTTATACCTGCCCTGAATCTTCCCAAACGCACCGGGTTCATTCTTTCAGAGCGTTCCTGCACGTTCGCTAATTACTGCTCTCCAGTTGCTTTAAGCAGAGACGGCAGGAGGCATACGGGTCGCCAGGTCTGCTCTCACAGGACGGACCTGTCCCCCTCAGTCTCAGTAAGTGCCAGTTACTTTCAGACCTACAGTCCTGGTTCAGAACCATGATTCCATTTGGAACTGTTATGATACCTCTTTTGTTATGTATAATTGTTTTAAGTTTTGTATTTTGTTGCCGGTCACACTATAAAAAAAAAAACAAAAAACAAAAAACAATGCACCCAATAAGGGGATGCTGGCTCAGTGCTTCAAGATGATCTCTGACACCTATGACCTTGAGAAGATACGGAGTTTAGATGGGAAGTACCTGAGACTTCTCCCTCCTAGTCTTCCCTATTACTCAAACGTGACCTTAAGTGGTTTCCAAGTGTTATGCACTTTCCCTCTGATGTAGGGCATGACGAAAGATCTTGATCAAAAGGGGAAAACGTGGAGATTAATAAAAGGAAACCTTGTTTAGAATGGAGTGGGGAGGGGTGCTTCCGTGGCTCAGTCGGTTTAGTGTCTGTATTGGACATCCTGTTCCAAGGAGTAGATCTGAGATTTAGAAGGACCAATGGCAATGCTTTTGGCCAAGGTACTTGCAGGGGCTTGAGAAATTTTGCCAACTGAATCTTAATAGTGCCTTTAGCGTGTTCAACTAACCCTGAGGACTGAGGATGGTATGCACAATGAAAATGTTGTAAGGGCGCCTGGCTGGCTCAGTCAGTAGAGCATGTGACTCTTAATCTCAGGGTCGTGAGTTCAAGTCCCAGGGTTCTGGGACCGAGCCAGGCATCAGGCTCCCTGCTCAGTGAAGAGCCTGCTTCTCCCTCTCCCTCTGCCTGC